TACTTTTCCAGGTGAACTCTCGTAATGTTTCCCCAAACAGTTCATTGGCACTTTGATTGGCATTGTGTTAAATTTATTCATTAATTGACATCTTTGCAATATTAAATCTTCTCACCTCTCTGCCAGCTGGAAGTATTTTGTCCTTCCTCTGAACTCCCTTAGCACTTCATACCTTTTAAAAAATCACTTTCTAAACTATACCCACCCAATTTTTTAAATCTGTAACCCGAGAGTTGTTCCCTCCCCTCTCCTCTCCAACCTTCACCCCATCCAATCAATCATCAAGTCCCGTCAATGCTACCTCCTAAATTTTATCCACTTCTGCCTTTCCCCACTACTGGCTCTCCGTCCAAGCTGCCATCATTCTGGCCAGAGTCACTATAATGGCCTCCAACTGACCTCCCTGAATCCACTCTGGCTTCCAAGCTATTCTTTTCCGCCATAACATGACTAACCTTTTTTTAAATTATTATTAATTTTATAAGGATCTTGGGGACCCAGAGGTCACTGGCTGCAATTCTCAAGTCTTAATGCAGTACTGCTTGGACTCAGAAGTGTTGAGAGCCACCAGAGTCATGTGATGGTACTTGGGAGCTACATAGTGCCAAAGATCTTGTGTGTGCAAGGCATGTGATCCACACCTTTGAGAGCTCTCCTTGGTCCCAGAAATGGGCTTTTAAAAGACAAATCTATAGTATACTCCCACTTAAGACTAGTACAGTATTCTTGGTATAGAGCTTCAAATTTCTCTTGCTAGTTCAAAGACAATCTGTCTTTAGTTCATTCTTTCCGCCCTATCCATAATGACAATTAATATACCCCACTGCCTATAAATCTCATATGGCCTTTGTACACACTATTTCTCTGTTAGCACTGTTATTAGCCTTCCCCATCACCTTAGATTATGAAGGTTATAGTTCCTTCAGATATATAGGTAGATAAATATATCAGCGTCCTGATCTATCACACTTGTAATAATTATTATACTTTTTGACTGTTTTTATGACCACCACACTTGTGATTCTTTATTTAACTGGTCTTCATAGTTTTATCACAAAATTAAAATTTTAATGACTATTACACTTGTATTTATTCAAGTTAATCTCCATAATTTTAGCACAAAATTTTAAGAATAATTTTAATAATAAGTATTTTGACTACAAGACAGAATCACACTCCATTCCTAGTATACAGAAGTATGTAAGAACTTGGGTTGGACCAGCTCATGAGACCAGGTTGTTAAATTTTTAGGAATATTTGTGAGCTTGCTAATATCATATTGGTAGCTTGAAATCACTCATAGTGAGAGCATTTGCACCTTAGAAATCAGCAAATGATACAAATCAGTTTTTCCTCCCCGTCCTAACAACAAATATCTTTTTCCTGGGTTGACTGTTTTAAACCATTATTAGTTTGCTACTATTTTCATGCACCCCACTACTTCATCTGTACCACAGGTTTATGAGGTAGGTATACCATTTCAGAGGTGAGAAAACTAAGAGGATGATTCACTTGCCAAGATGTCAGAGCTATTTTGCAGCAAGCCAGGCTGTGAGTCCAGGTCATCTGATCCTAGGATGTGAGCAGTTCATCTTTACCAGAATGTGGAGTAAGGAAGATTCTTCCTGCCCTACATTGCAGTGTTCAGTGTCTGCAGCAAAGGACACAGTCCTGGGCACAGCTAGAATGCTCCATCACTTATTACTTCATAAATAAGTCACCGATAACTCAGCACACCAGAAACTACGTTATTAAATAAAAGACACCAGGTGACAGTGCTGAAAGCCTGAGTACTTATTCTAACTCTATCTTAAATTCAGTGAGTAACTGTGGGCAAGTCACTACTTCCTGTGTCTCACTTTTCTTATCTTGTAGGAGAGGAAGTTGAACCAGAAGATCTTCAATGTCTCATCATCTTGAAAGTCCTTTTTTGAACTTACATAAACATGGAATCTGTTACTTACTCAGCCCATGTGATCTCATCTTTCACTAGGCTCTGGATTTCCATTAACTTAGGCTGGGACCTCCTCTATTTCTGTCTTCATTTTGAAATGCTACTCTTTTGCCTTCTCCTCTGGAAAGATCCCAGGAATTATCCAAAGTTAGTCTTTCCCTAGGGGCACACTGCTCCTACAACCCTTTTTTGCTTTCATATCTCATGTGGCACTCAACCCAGTTGTGATCTGAGTGTCTCTTTCCCATTCTAAAACTTCAAACTGCTAGAATGATGATATTATTGATTTTATGCCTTGAGCATAATTTGGAATAAATATTTGTTCAATGAATATAGGAATTGTACTGATACTTCATCCTACCAACAGAGATTCAAATCTAAATGGCCCAGGGTCCAGTAGAGGCACTGGTGATTTTCATACCCATGGTAATTTCTCCATTGAGTATGTATTTCTTCTAAAGTACTTCCCTAACATGCTGCTTAAAGTCCTACTTCATCCTCTATCCTTTACTTATTGCTACCTGGTAACATCACTGATGTTCTTTGTTTCCTATTTTATCCCTCTAGAATGTAAGATTTATTAAGAGTGGAGACTTTTACAAGCCTTGCTATCCTTATAGCAGGTCTATGTACAATATCCAAAATCTGGAAACAAGCCAAATGCCAACAATCACTGTCACTGTCCTCCCGTTGTTCATCAGTTCACTCTAGCGGGCCCAGTAACATCATGAGACTTGTTACTGTGTTTGGCATATCGAATACGTAACGGGTAGCTTGCCAGGCTTTGCCGTGTGGACGAGATACTCTCAGTAGCTTGCCGGATTCTCTGAGAGGGGCGGAGGAATCAAACTCGGGTTGGCCATGTTGTCTGCGTGCAAGGCAAATGTCCTACCCACTGTGCTATCACTCCAGCCCAAGTACCAACAATAGATGAGTAAGTAAAGAAGTACTATATATTCACGGTGGAACACTACTCAGCTAAAAAAAAAAAAGAGATGAACTTTTGCTACAACATGAATGAAACTGGAAGGAATCATATTAAGCAAAACAAGCAAAAGAAAAAAAAGATGAGGTCACTCATGTAAGAATATAAAGAAATAGAGTTAGGAATAAAGTCAAACTAAAACAAATCTTTTGACTCTGAATGAAAAGTGGCATGCGGTGAAGGGGCATTATGGAGAAGGGAGAGGTGTAGGCGAGGAGGATAATGTAATGGATTATGATGAGGGAATATTAGAATATTTGGTGATGACTGAAGTATATTGATATATATTTTAAGACACATAAAATTGTACCTCTAAAATATAAAGTCTCATAATCCTCAATAAGCACAAAAACAAGTACATTTTTGAAAGATTAAGAACTGCGTGGCTTTATTTTGCCCACTTCCATAAACTAGGGTTTAGAATTATAGTAGCCTGTAGATTAATAATAAGTACAAATCATTTGAATGAATAAAAGCCTGAGTCTCTTTGGAAGCTAGAATAGGAATTAATTTATGGCCATGGATCCACAAAATATAATCTAGTCAAGATGTACCTAACTCACAAGTTCAAAGCTAAAAATTTAAATGCACTTAAATGCTATCCTCTCATATATATGCCTAACTGATATCTAGTCAATCACTAGAGTGAAACGAAATTGAGCTATACAAAAGGAGAGAATATAAAATACATTAAAAGAAATTTGCAACATGCCTGATTATTATGTATAAATATATTTCTCTACCATGTATATTCTGTTTTAAAATATAGTATGCTATTGATCTTCTTACCTTTATTGTTCCCTGACTCAATTTTACCTAAGATCAACCTTCACCCCTTAACCTTACATGGAAACCCAAATGTAGTCTTAAAACTTGCCAAAGCCCAAATGCTCATACATGACATTTAAAAATTTTTAAATTGTGTTAAAATACACATAACAAAAATTATTATCTTAATTTTAGCTGTGCATTTCAACATTGTTATTATATTCACACTCTTGTGGAATCAATCTCCAGAACTCTTACATTGGGAAAAATGGAAACCATGCACATATTAAACAATCTTTTTCCCTTCCCATAATCCCTAGTAATAACCATTCAACTTTCTGTCTCTGTGAATGGACTGATTTAAGTGTCATGCAGAGATTTTACACTATTGTTACTCTAGCAGGCTAAGTTCTGATATAAGTTCTACTATCCAAGTTCATTGCCAGAGGTATTGAATCAGCCCTCTCTTCTTTAAGTATGTGTTCACCTCACTTGGGGCCTTGGTGCACAGGAGTTGGAATATTATCTGCTTTTATGGGTAGGGCTACACCCAGCAAAGCACCTGGCACAGCTCAGGGATGCCAGAGATCAAAGCTGAGCCAGCTATGTGCAAGGCAAGCACCCTACCCATTATACTATCTTTCTGGCCCCAGGAGTTGGAACATTCTTACTTCGCTTTGCCTATCCAAATCCTCCCCATCTTTAAAAGCCATTACAAATTTCCATTTCCCCCTTAAATTATCACCCCAATATTCTAGTTGCCCCTAAATTATTTTTCTGACACACATTCCATTCTCTTGAAAAATCTAACATTTAGTCACCTATACCCTCCAGTTAGGAAAAAAGTAATAGATATAAAGTAAACATTCAAAAATATATAAACAAAATTTTTTAGTTTTGTGAATTTTTAAAAATAATTTCACTCTGTAGCATCTTTGAACAACTTTCTGAAAAAGCTCTTTTCCAGAAAATTGTGTTACAGTCAGAAACTTTGTCTAGTATAGTATCTGCTACATGAATCAGAGTCTATTCTAGCTTGGTTCCCAAATAGAAACATTTACTAGGATGCAGTCTTGAAGTAAGCCACTAAAACCATCTCCTAAAGCAAGCAGAAACTGATTACATAAAGTACCTATGTAGAGTTGAATTTATAATGACCGGGTCAATCTATTACCCAGTCTTACTGTTCTCACTCTAACAGAAACACTTAGAAAAATGAGCAAGATTATTTGGTAAAAGAGGATGGAAACCAGAACAGTACTGAAACCGTTCTCCTGGAATCATCTCACCCACCTGTGTAAATGAACCGCCCTGGAGCTCCTTTGCAGAATTGTTTAGATTTATAAGATAATGTCACTTCCACTACTCCAGGAATGTGCCGAGGAGGAGTCTGTACTCTGATGGCATGAGGGGTGATTAGCTGAAAAGTGAACAAGCAGAGAGACAAAAGTACCCATTATACAAGTTATCACTGAGGACTCTGAAGATGTGAGCATCTCCCAATACTATCACTCTGAGAAAACTGGCCCTTTACCTATATCCCACATGTTTCTCTCTGCCACCCTTACATTTCCTCTCAACCCAATCTGTCTAGATCTTTCCATTCCTATCTGCAGAGTTCAAGTTCCTCCCACCTCATTCCTATCCCTGAAATCACACCCCCCCCCCATTTTCTATACTCTATAACCTTACCTATCAATTTGGCAACTTTCCTATCTAGCGGTGCTGTGACCTACATTTCTGCAACATCTTACTGTTTATCTCATGAAAGTGGAACACATTCACTTAAAGAAATTGAAAATTACAAAAAACTATTAGTGTTATATAACTCAGAAATAACTGCTATTAATCTTTGGCATGTTTCCAGTACTTTTCTATGGATGTGTGTTACATAATTAGACTTTACATCTGTAGACACTGTTATTCTAATCCTTTTCTCACTTAGTATTTTAGCATAAACATGCTTCTTTCTCCAGAATTATTAGAATGTTTTCCCCAAAATATAATTTGTAATGATATAATGTCATTTTATCATTTACTTACTCATTCTCTTAGCATCCAATATCTTGGCTCTTTATAATTTTTCATAATTAGAATTAATACTAGAATGAATTCATAACTTTGTAAAGGATCAGCACCTATGATAAAATTATGGATTACATGGTTTTAAATTCTGGTACGCTTTTTGTAGTAGGTGTCCCATGATCTGCATTAATGTGGCTGATGCTCCAGGAACTAATACTTCCTCCAAATCCTTTGGGTGAAAGGAAATTAACCTTTTCCTACCTCGCTCCATACAAGCATGGTCCCAAACACTACTTGGAGGCCATCAAAGAAGTTGTCTCCAATGATAATGACCATGGCTCCTCCTGTGGTCCAGCCTTCACTTGGACTAATGGCTTTGATGCAGGGGGTAGCTGTGAAGAGAAAAGGAAAAATCTAGTAGGTCTGCCCTTTTGATGCTTAAATTTAGAGTTTTGGTATGTGCTGCTCTTGAAAACGGTTGGTCATTTGAGAAGTTAAAATTGCACTTTGCTGACTTGACACCATTTACTAATTGGTTGTTGGTTTTCACCAGGTCATTAAAGACTAAGAAGTTGACCATTGCATATAAAAAAAAGTAGAACACTTAGCTAATTGTGTAAAGGGTATTTTTAAAACTCTTGTTTTTTCCTATATTTTTATAAGTTGACCACACTGGAAAATGCGTAAATCCCTTTTCTCTCCCCACCTCCTCTGCTCCAAGATGTTAAGATTTATAAGGCTTGTTAATATGCTAGAAAAAAGAGGAAAAAGCAAAAACTATCACCGTTGGTCTTTAAAAGTTCTATCAAGAGACAATTCCTAATCACTTTCTAACTTTGTAGGAAGGTTTTCTTCTTCTTCTTCTTCCATATGTTCCAGGCCTCTGGACTTTACATCCCAATAGGAACTCAATATGGTTTTTCAGACCATAACTAAAGTCAATCCATCACTCCATTTCCAAAGTTGACAAGGTCAAAGGTGGAGGAGAACTTTGGCAGGACTCCAAAAACATGAGCCCCCTTTGAACAGCCAGTCAATCACATCCAATCAGTCAAAAGAAACTGGATGGGTTCCTAGTTCTGAACTCTGGGATTTTCTTCTCCCCTTTCAGTGCCCACTGTGGGAGAATTAACACCACTCCAAATTCTTTACTGATTCAATCATTTTCTTTCAGTTCATTAATTCCTATTTAAAGTGATACACGACACATTTTTAGGGCTGAGTTAGGGCAGGTGAGCAGTGTACAGCAAAAAAAACATCAAAATAGAAGCTACTTTAGCTTTTCATTCTATTATATAAAGGTCTTCCTCCAGTCAGTTGAAAAGTGTAAAAAAGGAGGAAGAATTTAGATGGAATTTTCTAGGTTTGTCAGTTATCATAACACAATATATTTTAATTTTTTGGACAACTTGAAGTTTAACAGTTACCACTATTTCTAATTACTTTAATGCACTTGGAAAACTACCCAGAGCAGATCATGATTTCTTCTTGTCCAAGCAAACAAAAATCAATTAGTGTCAGTTTCATTCTGCACATTGTTTTGTTTTGCCCACAATCTGTTTAAGGGCACATCTGACACTTATTCATACATGTCTGGCACTGTAATGTTCCTGTTTAACTAAGATGTCATAGGACTACATTTGCCTGAAACGGCCAGTCTAGGAAAGAGGAAAACAGAAGACTGAATGGAAGAAAGTGAGGCATAGTGGGCTGAGCACTGGCTGGGAAATGGGTGGGGGTTGTAATGGTGGAGGAGATAGTGTTTACAACTTCATTTTAAAAACCGCATGACTTTATGGATTTTCTGGACTCCCGCTCCGAGACAAACCTTTGAAATTCCAACAAGGAAATTTGGGGAGAACCTCATTTGTCTGCCATGCTCTGCACTGGCGACAGACAGCCCTACCTTCTGAGGGATCCAGTCTCCTTGCTCTCCGTCCATGTTTTGAGTTGTTATGAACAAACATGTTGTCAGAAACAGCCAGCACATGTCCATCCACATTCACGGTTGTGGACAACACAACCTGCATATTCGAAATAGAAAACGTGGGAAGGGAAAGTTAGCGCCACCTAAATCAGCAAATACACCAGACTTCAGTTTTGCCAGACTTCTGCATGACTGACTAGAGAGAAAAGGAAAAGAACTCAGGTGCAGGGTATGCCCTTTGCATCTCAACAAGTGACCATCTTTGTGTAACTGTGATAGAATGTCATGCAAAAAAAAAAAAAAAAGAGGTTGTCCTAGGTCTGTGTTGTCACAGGCTGTGCTCAAACTGCGACCAGAGGATAAAGTGGGGAAGCTGGCCATTTGACAGCTGGTTGCAGAAACATAGTCCACTGTCCTGTCCTGTTGTTCACTGATTTGCTCAAGCGGGCACCAGTAACATCTCCATTGTGAGACTTGTTGTTACTGTTTTTGACATATGAAATACAACACAGGGAGCTTGCCAGGTTCTTCTGTGCAGGCGGGATACTCTCGGTAGCTTGCCGGGCTCTCCAAGAGGGATGGAAAAATTGAACCTGGGTCAGCTGTGTGCAAGGCAAATGCCCTACCATCTGTGCTATTGCTCCAGGAGAAACATAGTACTCTATCAAAAAGGACTTGGACAACTATTCCCAGCTGATCCACAAGATGGAGGCACCACAGAGCCAATTGTGTATGACCAAGAAGTTCAGATCTAAACACCAGCTGGAAGATCATTCTCCAAGCTTGGAATGGACTCTAGCACTTCTGACATGTGCTAACATAATGCTGGGCAGGGCCATGCTGCCTGATGAGTTGTTTGTGATGTCCCCACCCACTAGAGCAGAGGAAGAGACACTTCAATAAGATAAAGTTGCTGGAATTCAGTGTTGAAATGTAGAGCCTTTGGTATCTAACAGAAGAAGGGGCCAAGGTGGGTGTGGTGTGGCGAAAGAGAAGGGATTTGGAGTCAGAGAGGCTGACCTCCAGTCCCATTGCTGGTAGGTGTAGTCTTGAGTAAATCACTTAACCTTTTGATCTCCCAGTTTCTTATCTGTAAAACAGAAACAACAAAAGCCTAGCTCAAAGGGCTGAATGAGCTAAAACAAAAAGAAAATGAGATAATGCATGTCCTAGAAGTTATGCGGGATCTAGCACATGACAAATTAGGATTAATTTATGTTCTAATTGCCTCATCCCTGCCTCGTTTGACCAGTCAATAAAACAGATGACCCACTGAGCCCCTCACATGAGTCTAAGCCCTTGGGGGCGCTCTAGTAACGGTACATGGGTAGATATCAAAGTTTTTGAGCATGGCCCCTTCTCTCAAAGAGCTCACTTGAGGCTGGAAAACAAGGCTAACACAGTAACACAGAAAAAGGCATCAAGTGGAAAGTTCTGCTTGTGTGCTGCAGTCAGAGGTATGAGAGACATTGATGAAGGGGAGATCAATAAAGGTAGAGTAGTCAAGAAAGTGGAGTAGAAGAGAGCAGACTTGAGTATACCCACCAATTTAGAAACTCAGGAAGATGAGCCACACTGGCTATGAATCTACTTGTCAGTTATACATTGCAATTTTCTTTTTGAAAAGGGAATCAGTTATATATGTATTCATGCACACATATAGACCCTTCAAGAAAAATCACAGAATCGGATCCATGTTTTAAATGGCAATTTCATGGTGACAGAAATTATTAGATTTTTAGTGGTGACCATATTGTGTTGTTTATAGATGTTGAATTATATATAACTTATACAATGTCATCAGCCATTGTATAAGTAATACATAATTTAAAAACCTTTTGCCCCAAATTAAATTTGCTGATACTATAATTCTAATGTGTGTGTTATCCTTTCTTGGCATATTAAATGAAGGTAAGAAGGAGAAATGCCTTAATCCTGATTTTTCTCCTAATATTATCAAATTCCATATAACTTTGTTGTTATGAATAATTCCAAGCAGAATAACATAAAAAGTCTATAAGTATCTGTCATTCAGCTTAATTATTTAGCAAAATATTATTATTCTCATTTTATCTATACCGTGATCCCTATTCATAAAGGTAATGATAATCAGAAATGGGGGAGGGATGAAATTTACATGCATTTAAATGCACAAGTCTCGGCTACACAATTCTACAAGTGGATATGCCTGGGTAATCCACAGCTTATCATAATATATATTATTTCCATCTCTCAAGAAAGTTACCTTTATCTCTTCACAGTCAGTCCTACCTGATATCCTCCCAAACCAAGATAGCATTATTTTGATTTCTATTTCAAAAAGCACATCAAGTAGCAGTTTTTGTTTTTGTTTTGTTTTGTTTTGTTTTTTGCTTTTTGGGTTTTTTGTGTCACACCTGGCGATGCTCAGGGGTTACTCCTAGCTCTGCACTCAGGAATGACTTCTGGCTGTGCCCGGGGGACCATATGGGATGCTGGGAATCGAACCTGGGTCGGCCGCGTGCAAGGCAAACGCCCTACCCGCTGTGCTATTACTCCAGCCCCAAGTAGCAGTTTTTTAAATTTAAATATATTTTAATATAATAGATTTAGAAGAAACCCTAAAACTTGGATTTCACAGCCTGAGTCCGTGAACATAATAGTGGTCTTTAGAATCTTTCACATGAGCATAGTGGATTATAATCATTTAAACCAAAAGCACGCAAGGAGTTCCTGCTACATGATGGATATTATCCAAGTCCTGGGGATTCAAAGATGAAAAAGGAATGTGTTCTCTCTCCTGAAGTCTCTCCCATACCTCATTTCCTCACTGTGACTGCAGTAAAGGAACAGGTGGAGTTCTCCATCCTTGACTCTCTATGACATGAAAATAAACTTAAAGTACCCTCAATTATCATTTAGAAAATTATTACCAATATAGTTATTCACAATTTAAGGATGTTGCCTGTCTAGCTCCAGACCTGTTCTAAATTGTGTCTTCATGTTACTATTATTATTTTTTTTTTTTGCTTTTCTTTTGGTCACACCCAGAGATGCTCAGGGGTTACTCCTAGCTCTGCACTCAGAAATTACTCCTGACGGTGCTCCGGGGACCTTACGGGATGCGGGGATTGAACTCACTTTGGCCGCATACAAGGCAGATGCCCTCCCTGCTGTACTATGGCTCTGGCCCCATGTCTGCGTCTAAGAGTGTGAGAAAAGTCCTTCCAGAAAGATTTTATCAGGTGGTAGACACAATAAATCTGAAACTGACACAGTTAACCATTGCTCTCCACAAGTGCACAAAAGCACAAGTACTTATGAAGGCAACCTCAGCAAGCCTGTGGCATCACAGTCAAGGAGAAAAACTGAGTCTTCTGGCCATGAGATTGTCATGTATCCTGGTCAAGGCAAAGGGAAGGTTGAAAGTATTCATTTCTGTACATGCTTACCGTCTAAAAATAATAAAAGATGGGGGTGATATTAGACATTGTGAATGTGTTTTCAAAGACATTCTGTCATTGTGGGAAACAAACAAAAACAAAACACAAACAAGAGAGTGATTCCAAGTTAACGGCTAATGAAATTTACTCAGCACATATAGAAGAACCTCAGCCCTGTCTGAGGATTATGTAGCTGGAAAGAATATTCTCTCTGAGACTGCTTTAATCCATTCCACAAGCTTCTTGTCATACTGTACTTTAATGCTCCTCCTGCATTCCTACCACAAAATATGGGCTTTCCTGAGCCAGCTGATTTCATCATTGTCCATTTGGGTGGAGTAAGACTCAGTTCCAAAGTGAACATTTCCCCAATGACATACCCTGATGGTTCAGATGCACTTCATTATTTTCTATTAACAATGGAAATAAATTTTAATCTCTTGCTGGCTAGCGCTGGCCTCTCATGACAGCAAGGGAATTAACCTGAATTATTTCAGTGTCTGTAAAATTTATTACAAGATTTTAAATTATGTCCAAATGTATGTATATATAGATAGATAGAGGGGGGAGGGAGATGAGGAAAGTTCCAGTTTTTAATATTGCAAGTATCTTATACTATGAAGTATCCAAAAGAACCATCAATGAAACTTAAGTTGCAAACTATAAATGATTTAATTCACACAGTACACCATGTGAAATCAGACAGACGCATTTTGTGTTTGTTCTTAAACACAGACACACAGACACACAGACGAACACACACACACACACACACAACACACTCACACACACATTGACTTTTAGTTAGAGTACTTTTACCTCTGGCAGAATAAACTACATTATGGAGATGAGGATACATTCAGTACATTCGAAGCTTCAAATTTAATTTCCTTCACTGTTTTCTGGTGAACAGTGACAATACTGATATTATTCTATTTGGAGAAGTTAATGTTTCTGAATGTTTGAAGACTAAAGGAAGTGGAATGTGCATTCCAGCATCGTCTCACTCCCAGGCCTTCCCCTTCCACAAGCCAACTTCTTTCCCCTAGTGAGTATTTCCTGGGTCACAAAGGCTGACCTCTTCCATCTGGAATCAATCAGTCAACCCCTGACAACTTCCTGAAACACCTCACTCCATTTCCTGTTCTCTCCCCCTTCTCTTTTTCCCCCTGGTTTGCTTCACTCTTCAAAACTGCAGGCCACAGCAGCTTAATGTTAGAGGGTCAGACACAGTTAGACTCCAAAACACTACACAAGGACACCTTTGACCTTCAAAAATCTTTACATCTTAGCTAAACAAATCAAGGTCAACATTTCTTACCATTACCTTATTAACTATTTGTATGCATCTTCGTCAATGATCTTCTGATCATATAACCATCAGTACCACTTGTTCTAAGATCATAAACTGGTGTGTTTTTGAAGTGGCAAATTTCGTATTGACAAAGGTGCCATTTGGAGGTATCTGAAACTAAAACTCACCAGTATTATAACAAACATATGGAGAGTATTCCACACAAAAGAACTTCTATGCCTCATTGGTGTCTCCTATCACCTAAACCTGATACCTAGTCTTTCTAAAGCTGTCAGACTCTCTTGGCACGGCCATTCTGCTGGCACAGCCCAAAAGGATGCCAATTAGGAATACAGATGTCCATAATTTATGTGAGATGGA